AGTCTTAACTTTTATAAAGAATATCTCTTTGGGTTTGAGACTTTAGTCTTTGCAACTTTAGAGATCTTATCTATTCACGAACAGCTTGTAACACTCCAAAGAGAAAGGAAAATTTGAAATCGCATCATATGACCCCTTTAAAGAAGAAACACTTAAGCAAAACATGGTCAGGTCAAAGTGTCTGAATAATTTTTGGTCCCAAATTTTTATCAGTTTTACTGGTAATCCACTGTATGAAGAATTGTTGGATATAATATGTCACAGTTTACTTTATTTTGCTATCCTCACTTACATAAATGAACTATAGTGTCCTGCACCCACTAGTAAAAACATATCAAAAATTATATCTCGTGTCTGAATAATTTTTGGTTTAAGTACATATATATAAATTATTATATATATTTTTTTTTTTATTCCCAACCCTGGTGAGGTTATACTTTTGCCTTCACATCCACAACCACATTCACACCAAGAGCAGTTAATTGTAACGAATGACAGTTTAACTCTCACTGTAAAGATTGTGGCCGTCAAGACAAACTTCTCTCTGCTTTGCATAAATTAGCCCAGACTCTATGCGTCACTGCCTGCATCTTCTCTTTCTCCCTCCGTCTCTGTGCTATCACTCACCCTGAGACAATCACACACTCCTGTGTCACTCCTCTATCAGTAAAACAGAGCGATAGCTACTCCTGTCATTATGTAGCAGGTGCTATTTATTTCTTGTCTGTCTGTCTTGTTTTTACATATCAAAGTTTCCTCTACTTTCACTTTTGACTTCAGTTACTGCTGTGTAACCAAACCATAAAAACATGAAAAAACTATTGTTTGCACTGTTTCCTCTCCTTTCTTCTCTCTGTTACAGGAAAGCCACTACATATCAAGCCACGATTCTTATATACAACACAGACAGAAAGCTTGCCAAAGGAGGGCTGATGGTGGGTGTTTTAATTGGTAATAAACTTTGAAACATTTTAACTTGATTTTTACTTTAATAATATACAGAATAAATTCTGCTAAACTGTTACAAAATGGTTTACAAAGACATCTTCTTTACTTGAGACGTTCACAGCTACTTTTTGGTGTAAATTCACGTTTGGTTTCAGGAATTTCGAAATGCAATTCTAAGAATTGATTAAACATTTCTCGGAATATGTTCATAAACTGTCACTACTACAGAACTGAATTTATGCATTATAATCAAATACTATTCTGAAAAAATGCAGACGTTCACAGTGAGTTCGTTTCAAAATGTATATGTATATGTAATTCTCAGGGATTTTTAAAATGGCATTTCTGTAGTGGTTTGTTATGCAAAGAAATTGTATTATTTCAAATGCGAGCTTGTGAAAATGTCTTTTCAAAAAGTAAATAAAATTGCTTTGTGATTTGCACGACTTTGTCTTTGTTTCTGAGCATGTTTGCATATATGGAAGACGAATTTTTTCAGTTCTTTAACCATATTTAACCAATTTTTCAGTTATTGAACCATATAACATCACAAACCACCTCACTCCCAAGTTGTTTTCTGAATAGCATCGTTTAACGTGAAAAGTATCGGTATTTCTCTACACGTGTTGTGAGGCAGGTGGATGTGAAGAACATCGCTCATGGCTGCATGTCTGTCACTGTAATTGAGTCTTAAGGAATCTATAGGAAACGAAAAAAAATGTGACATCTCCCTCACACTCCTCAAAACTAATTTTTCTTCTCCTCTCACTAACTGCTGTCTGACCAAATCCATCACAACTAATTTCTGACAATGTCATTTTCCTTTCCTTCTCCCTGCCTTTTCCTAAAATGTGCATTTGATTGAGGATCCGTTGGTTCCTCCTCTTCTCCGTCGGGTAATGTAATTAGTATGTTGAGTGTTAAACAGTGGTATAGAGAGGATGATGGGAGTTGTAATCCCTTGAACGCCCCTCACTGTGCGGAGACTGCTGATATTCAGACTATTAATGCTCCGCTGAACCAAGGCCTCGTGCTCCGTGCTCTGACAAACGACTGCCGGTCACGACGGGAAACCTGGTTAACCGTCGCCGGCAGCAGCAACAGGGGGCATTAATACACCGTGGCGAGGGTCTCGCTGCGGAACACCACACACTCGCTGGCACTGACAAGCCTGCCGCCGTGTTAACGAGATAAAGGCCGTGCCCATGATGTGAGCCACGTTTACGATGACATAGAGGTATGGAGGGAAGAAAAACACTCCCTCATATGGCTTCTCTGTCCATCTCTCTCTTCTGCTTAATCGTTCATGCAGGAAGGAATACTTCACAAGAATGCATGTTGATATGGGTGTTGTAAAATCAACTAAAGTTGTCATACATCACCTAACCCCTCTTAGCTTATTTGTCGTTTTTGCATTGCGGCTCTTGCTTATAGATTTAGAATGCCGGAGTGCATAGTTAAGCTCAACTGATTTGTGACATAATGTTGATTATCAAAATAATAATTTTAATTTGTCCCTCCTTTTATTGAACAAAAGTAAGGTGCTTGTATTGGAAGTAGGGCCAATCCTTAAACATTAAAATGGATTCAATTATATAGCCACAAGACAAACAATATGCATGTTGCCATGGTTTTATTTTGACAAAATCACTTAGTAATGTTTGCTGTGTAAAGTTTTGTCCAGTTTTGCAACTTTGTTGCCTAAATGGAATGCCTAAAACCATAAAATAACCATTTAAATACCATTTTTATGACTTTAAAGGTGAAATAATGCACAAGTTTTAACACGAGTTAACTGAAGAATATTCTGCATAATTTTGCTCACCGCAAAATTAATTTTGTCTTGTCAGGTGTGAGTCTATGAATGAAAAATGCACATAAAATGAGTTGGGCAACTTTAATGTTAAAATACAGTTTCAGATATATAGCCACAAAATAAACAATATGTTTAACAATAATAACATTTAGTTTGACAAAATCACTTACTAACGTTTGCTGTGTAAAGTTATGTCCAGTTACAACTTTTTTGCCTAAACATAATGCTTAAAAACCTATAATAACAATTAAAATTACATTTTGTACAACATTACTACTCAATATATACAATTTAACACGAGTAGGTCTAAATGCTTTTTTAAAAATTTTATGCTTCATAATTCTGCTTTTAAATCCTCCAAATTGGCCTTATTCACTTTTATTAATCCCTTACTAAACTTTGATGTGTAAAGTTCAGTTTTACAACTTTGTTGCCTAAATTTAAAGCCTCAAACCCCAAAATACCATTAAAATTACAATTTAAACAACTTTACAGCTCAAATAATACATAAGTTTAGAGTTGAAGGCTTTTTTTTAATAAGCTTCTCATCTCTAGTTTTAAAATTCTACAAAACTTGCCCTATTTACTTCCACTGTGCTTCACCATTACCACATTTTTTTATATATATAAAACAATTCAAGTTTATTTGTATAGCGCTTTTCACGATACAAAGGTTTTGGGATGTGAACTAAAGACAACGACGAGTTAATAATATTGAGAAGCGGTTCTTCTGCTACAGGTAACAACACTTTCAGTAATTTAGTGGGTACAGGATCTAACAGGCATGTTGTTGGTTTAGATGCAGTGATACGTTTATTTAGCTCTTCCTGTCCTATAGTTGTAAAGCACTGCAGTTTATCTTTTGGTGCGATGAATGAAGCTGAAGTATTATACGCTGTAGAATCTACATTTGTTATTGTATTTCTGATGTTATCTATTTTATCAGTGAAGAAATTCATAAAGTCATTACTATTAAACTGTGAGGGAACAAAGGACATAGAACTGTCTTTTTCCCCATATAATATCCATTAAAGTTAGTTAATCCATTCATAAATTGATGTGATTTTTTTTTCATTCGGATGCAACATCATCCAGAAAGATCTTGTTCTTCATCCTCCATTCAGTACTTTTTTTTTTTAAAGTAATTTTCTTTTTATTTAACATTCAGTGTTTAATGTCAAACAAAACAACCCCTAAATTAATTACTATAGAACTTCAGTTAGTACAGTAAAGTCATAACCTTTGATTTGTACAGAAAGGCGGAAAAGATGTGAGGTGGGATGCATATATCCGTATTCATGATACTCTTTAACAATGGTCACTCACCAGTCTCTGTTATCTGCATGGGAAAAGAAAGAGAAATGCATGGAGCAATCACTCTTTCTTTTCTCACCCTCCCCTTCCCTCTCGTTCTCTCGCTCTGACGGCGAGGATGTAAGTGCCTTAGACAGATGTCTGCTGCCGCTTGTCTCAAAGCTCAACGCGAGCTGCTGAGCTCGGCAAACTCTAATTAAGATCAATATTTCAATTTTTAGTAAAAGCGCATGTGAAAGAGAATGGAGGAGGAGAGCGAGAGAGAAAGGAGGAAAACACATTCACATTTATTCGCGGACAATCTCACTTGAATGAGAAAAGGAAAGAATGAAAGGTCAAGTGTAATTTTTCTCTACCTCAATAGATCGCCTAGGCATAAAAAAGACAAACTTGTTACAGCTCAGCAAAGACTCCAGCCCATCAATAAAGATCATACTTCCACTGCAAGTAGTTAGTCATTAGTATATCTGTCCTCTGTCCTTTTTTTCCTCCTGCTCTCTTTCCAATCTTTCTGCTTGTGCTTTATTGCTGTTTATCTTTTTGCCATTCTTCGTCTGCCATTTTTAAAGCTCTTTTGAGTTTTAGTACATTTTTTCAAATATCTTCCTGTGTCCATTTCAACTTTTTTTGGTTCTCTTGAAGGAATCAGTCTCTTTTTCTCTTTAACATGCTCTTTTCTGTCGTCTTGCTCTTTCTAACTCACTTTTTTCGCTGAGAACTTCATAGAACTTTGTATACTTGTTAGTTTGAATGTAGTCGAATGATTACTGCTGAGTCTTTGAACGGGCATTTGTGGGATTTTGAGGCCCACAAAAACCTCCTTTCCAAACCTTCTTCCGATAACCCCCTACTCCACCTCGCACCTCTCAACTATTTTGGCTAAAGAGGGGTTAACCGGACAAATCTGTCTCAGTCATTTCCACAGATGTCTAGTCCAGACCCCCCTTCTCTCTTTCACGCTATCATACTCTTTTTCTCCTTGGACGTGCTGATGTCCATTTTGCTTAAATCGGTAGAACTGCACCAGCAGCTAACTCCCAATATGCAAAGGCACAATGAAAGCCCTGACTTCAAAATTTATGTCTCAAGCCCTCGGCCACATCCACACCCACCCACCTACCTCCGCTCAATGAATGGACGATGGCAGATCTTCTTAAATGTGGCATTTTCAAAGCGGACTGCTTAGCTTGGACTTTGAGGTCCACTCATGCTTATTTGATAAAACCTCCATAATGACTTAGCGCACCTTCAACTTCAAATACCTTGATATGATTTGTCCCGTCCTCTTAGGCTTTTCTTTTTTCCCCTCCGTTGGCAGATTTGAGCCTCAAGCGTGTCTGTATTTCACTCATTGGCACCTGGAAAGAAAGTCTTAGCATGTTACATAAAGTTAGTAGAGGTCTCAGATGTAGTAAGAAGTAAGTTATACAGCAGATTTTATTTTGATAATTGATACTGAAGCTTAGAAAATACACATACATTAATATAAATTGGCAAGTATTAAGCATCTGAGCCATTTACAGAGTGAGGAATTACTGAGTGCTGCATATGAATGTAAAGGCCTGTCAAACACAGTAATTAAGGGAATAATTCACCCAAAAATCCAGGATCCATCCAGGATGTAGGTGAGTTTCATCGGAACAGATCATTTCTTAATCGGAAAAGATTTGAAGTAATTTAGCATTATATCACTGGCTCACCAATGGATTATCTACAGTAAATGGGTGCCGTCAGAATAAGTGTTGATAAAAGCATCACAATAATCCACAAGTAATCCACACGGCAGTGTTTGTAAAAAAAAAAACAAATACATGATTATGGCATTTTAACTTTAAACTGTCGCTTTTGATCAAAATAACTGTCCATAATCCATTGAAATCAAGTGATTAATGTCCATTCCCTGTTGTTCTTTCACATCAAAATTAGACATTTGTTTAGAACTGTTTTGGCTTGTAAACAGTGCTTGATCTGCACATATTTCTCTCCTGATTCAGACGAGACAACTTTTTCACTGAAGAAAGCAATATTATGGATAGACAACTCATATGTTAGCCAAAAACAACAGATTGAAGTTAAAAATGTGTTTATTACAAACAGCTTTTGCTTCACAAGACATTAATTGATGGACTGGAGTCCTGCATGTATCAGCTGTTTTGACTCTCATTCTGACGGCACCCATTCACTGCAGAGGATCCATTGCTGAGCAAGTGATGTTATGTTAAATTCCTCAGATCTGATCCTATGAAGAAAAACATATCTACATGTCGGATGGTCTGAGGGTGAGTACATTTTCATTTTAGTTGAACTATTCCTTTAAGTGTCTCTCATTATGTCTTTCTGTCTCTTTTATTTTTAACAAAGCACTATAATAATATTTCAAACATTTTTATATTGATCTACATTCCTCGGTGTCCTTACACTGCAATAAGGACCCGGCCTCGCATAGGGTGCTAGACTGACCCTCATCTTTGGGTACTTCCTTCAAGCGAGACTGGCTCCTCTGATTAAGACATATGCTGTGGTGATGAAGGCGCGCGCTGCGTGGGGCTTAATTATTTGTCGATCCGCGCAGATGAGTCGAGATGCAATTAGAGGTTAATTGCGAAAGAAATCCGAGGCGGATCATAATTAACTCACCCTCACAAATTGCGCATTTTTTCCCTATTCGGCGGAAATGTGGATTGATTTTATTGCTGGATCACGCGTTATTGAGTCCGTCACCGCCTATAGGTCATAAGCGGGGAGGAAAGTTGCGCGTGTTATCCTATCAGATCAATACACTGAATGACTGTTCACGGGGTTACGGCACATTGAGGAAATATGCAGTTTAATACATAATTATCTAATCAATTTGAACTTTAAACGGTCTGTCCAAACACAGTAGGGTTTTTGTAGAATAATTATCCTATGTCATAGCTATCTCCTGGATTTTAAGGATGTCTCGCTTTTGATAAATTAAAAAATAAATTATAGCAAATAATTAATTGTTAATAAATAGCCTAATTGTTGTGAAAGGAAATGTGATGCATAATTAGTTTAATATTGCTCTGAATTGCACTGGAGTTTATTGAATCACATTTACATTTTAAAATGAGAAATAACTTAGCAGAGTGTTAAAAGTGCAAACATCGTGTTATTGCGTCAAAATTTCCCTTCCTAATAGTGAATTCAGTAGTCGATGTGTATTCATTTTGCTTTCATTGTAGGCCTATTGCAATTTCTCATAAGACTGACTTTTAGTTTTGAAGTGAAAAATAAGTCAATTTAACTATATGATCATTTTTTTAATCATGTATGTCTATCAAATATAGAATTCAGTTGGTCGTGAAAATTACGCGTACAATCCGTTTTATAAACGTGTAAGTTATCCTTTTATAAATGTGTAAGTTATCCCTAAAGCGTTTGCATTGCATATAACGTTTAAGAAGTGTTTGCTCTGTTCTAAATAAACATTTTCTAAGTAAGACAAGCTGGGCTATTGCCTTTCCTCGCGCTCACTTTCCACGTGCGGTTGCAGGGGAGGCGTCGCTAGGGGGCGGGAAGAACACCTGTTTAAGCCACTGTCAGCTGCTGCGCGTTCGGCTCAGCTGCCACATAGAGGCGTCGCTATAGGAATATGCATGTCTACTGCTACGCCTCCTCCCATTGGTCCTTTCCGTTCTCTGGGTGGGACGCTCAGATGGGCCATGTGTATAAAGTGGTACATTGCCCCTTTCAGTGCTTCAGTGATACTGCGTGTCAGCGGTGGACAACGGTGCAAAAATAAGCTCTAGCCGTAAACGAAAAGCAACGGTGACAGCAGTCCATGTAACTTTAAAAGTGACAGCGGAGGGAGGTGAATTTAAGTAGCCAGAATTCCGCATCCTTCGTCAGGCTGCGTCGGAGCGTCCCACCGGAGGAACTTAACGTTACACTGAGATTTTGCCTTCCTCGCCCAGTTTCTGTGCCCCCAGTCCCGGATCGCAGCCTGGGCAGAACCTCGAAAATTGCGTCGGCAACAACAATAACAACAGCGGCAACAACAACAACCAGGGCTCCTCGGGCAAGCCGCAGCTGGAAGATCTCTACTGGATTCCCAACTACCAGCATCACATCAGTCCAGAGGCCCTCAACCTGACGCCCGAGGACGCGGTGGAAGCGCTTATCGGTAACGCGCACCACCACCACCATCACCACCAGCCCTACGAGGGATATCGCGGTCAGCAGTACGTCGGAGAAGACCTCTCGACGGCCACGAACGGGCATCACCACCCGGTGCACCACCACCACCATCACCACCACGCGCACCTCGAGGACCGCTTCTCGGACGAGCAGCTGGTGAGCATGACGGTGCGCGAGCTCAACCGGCAACTGAGAGGCTTCGGCAAAGAAGAGGTGATCCGTCTCAAGCAGAAACGGCGAACCCTGAAGAATCGCGGCTATGCACAGTCGTGCCGCTACAAGCGCGTGCAGCAGCGCCACATGCTCGAGAGCGAAAAGTGCACGCTTCAGAGCCAGGTGGAGCAACTCAAGCAAGACGTGGCGCGTCTGATCAAAGAGAGGGACCTGTACAAGGAGAAGTACGAGAAGCTCGCGAGCCGAACCTTTAACGGCGGCGGAGGCAACACTCGGGACCCGTCCAACGGCACTCACGGCAAAACCTCTTCCACGGAATTCTTCATGTGAGAGTGATTCTTGTTAAAGACTTTTTCCGCACCAACGTATTCGTTTTTTTAAACCTTCATTTTTATGATTTTCAGTGTGAATTTTATTTGCAGTTCTTATCTTAAATACTCAGTGTCCACTGTAGAACATACACTCTTGAAAATAAAGGTCTGATGCCATAGGATAATCTTTTTAAGTTCCACAAATAAATATTTTATTTTTAAGGACTCTAGAGAAACATCTATGTACTGGTGCTTTAAAGAACCCAAAACCCAATTATGTAAATCTAGAGAATCCGTAATGTCACATCCAGCACTTTTTCTTTTCCAAAGAATACCCACTTTTACCGCCAAAATGGTTATTGACAAGCAAGTCAAGTCCATTGCCGAACTTAAAGTGCTGAAAGGAAACACTGAAGAACCTTTATTTTTTAAGAGTGTAGTCTAACATTACAGCGACATATTTAAAGTCTTCACTCATTATTTGTGTACATATATTACTGTACCATAAAAGTCTTAAGGTTAGTGTAATGTTAGGATTATCTTCCACAGATACTGCACGAACCCTTCTACTTCATAACACATCCGCTCTAAATATGGGATCACGCATAATCTCCAAAGACCCATCAGTTTTGGATTCTGTAAATTCGTGTTTATTTTTTTTTTTTAAGTTATATGCTAACTGCAAAGTCCGACATGTTTAAAGACATAGGCTACAGTCGCTTTCTTAATCTTTTTTTTTTTTTTTTTGGTCTTAACGGATTGACGAGTCTTAATGGCGATGAGAACATACTGGAAACGAAACTTCACTCTGTGAAGGGACTTTGTAAGGAACAATGCTAATATTAAAACACATAGAAGCAAGAAAGGGAGATAGCAATAGGCTACATCCTTGACTTTTCTCAGTCATGAACTGAGGTTGAGGGGACTTATGAACTTTGAGGGCCCTCAAGCATTGCTCAAGTCTGCATTACCCCACCAATCCTGCATGCGGGACATGTATGGTACTCCAAAACGCGCCAGGTCCTTACTCTCTCTTCCTCATACAGCACTTGGATGAAAAGCATGGCCCTTAACCACTCTCTCTTCTCTTTTTTTCCGTTTCTTCTGCTCGACACAAACCGTGTAGCCTATGTGAAGGAACTCATGCCTACCTGCGAAATCACATGCAATCCGTTCTTGCATTTCTTTTCTATTGTTTAAAAGTAGAGAATAAGAACAGAAAAAAAACACCGAACTGAGCCAGAGTTATTATTCCCACTTGTACATATGTAGAGGTCAAATGGTGTGTTAATTTAACTTTCTTTTTAAAAAGTCATTTTTGCTTGATTATTTAAAACGTCTTAATACGATGTTTGTATGTAGTAGCATGCAAATGACAAAGATATTCTCATCCTATTGAATATGTACAATTTCAAAGGAAGCCTACTGCACTACGATTCGAAGAATTGGGATTTATATAACATTTCTTTTCCTCTGTGTTAATCGAATTGCTGTTATGGTGGACATAGTTAGTCGATCTAAAGTGCATATAAACACAAGGACTTTAATTGCTGCTAATATTCTATGCACCAAATTCGAAAGCAATTAACAGAAGCTCTGATTATGAGAATTTTGTACTTCAAAATAAAGGTGTAGAAAACTGGTTAGATATGGATATCAAAAATAACTAAGATAATCTCTTCAAGAACGTTTATATATATATATATATATATATATATATATATATATATTTGTCTTAATAACCGGAATGATGAACGACATAAAACTGTTCACTTCAAATATATGACAACCGTCGTTCGTAGGGCAAGAAGGGTTGTTTTAACTTTTTATGACATAATAAAACTGTAGCATAGCCTACTCTGTATAAAGCAGTTGCCTATTGTTTTGCATTACAATATTGTGATGATAATAGGCTTCCGACCATGCTGGATTACACTACAGGTAGATATAATTCAACAATACTAGAGGGTTTGTGTGCAAACTTTGCTATAATTAATCATGCGCATTTGAGCTTGAAATATAGCCCATCTTGTTCAGGCTAAATGAAGAAGTTGCCAAAGTGGATTATCTAATGCACGTAAATTGTCTTAAGTCAGTTTTCAAATTCTTTCCGACCAGTGTATGCTTAGTTTCCTAACAGATCTATCGGCCAGACTCCTAAAATAAGGTCTCCAAGTATGATCCTTTACCTGGGTTAGTATCTGCTTGATATCTCACCTGAAAACCACTGTTAACATTGATTAATTTATTTCGTTTAAATTATGAATTATGATACTGTTCGTTATGAAGCAACCTCTCTGTCTATTGGTCTAATTTGAGGTTACATAACCACATGTGCTGTCATGTGTGCTGTCTTATGTAAAAAAATAAATAAAATGGGGAAAAAATAAAAAAAAACGTGTACATAGCCTATAATTTCTATATATTTATCGACACTATAAATGTCCTTACGTGTCCGTAAGTCCAAACCAAAATGTTTCGAAATGGAATGTTGTTCAGAATCTTGTTTTCATAATGTTTAATAAAAACTCCTGTCAAATGCATCAGCCTCTTTTCCAATCACTCAACAAGTGTCTTTTCATGGCTAAAATATGTGATCTATTGTTATACGAAAATCAAGATTCAGTTTTTCCTATGACATCTATTAGGCTTAAATGACAGATGAAATGAAAATAATAAAAAGAGCCAGAAATAACGATTTGTGTCTTATATAAAACACCGTGCCTCATTGCGCATGTGGCACACGAATCGTACTATTTCAAAAGTTCAATCTGGTATTATATCTGGTTACGTTTTCAAAAATTAATTTCAATAATTCATTTTAATTCTATGAACTATGGAGGTTTAATAGCCTACTAATGTGGCATAAAGATTTATTTTATCATCGTAAAATAAACACAAGTTCATAAATGTTTGGTACAGTGGCATTCGTTTATAACATTAGCCTAAAACGTTTTGTTTACACAAATGTTTGAAAAGAAATTATTTAGATGAAAGTCGAAAGATACGTAGCTACACAAACGAGTAAACAGGGTGATTTTATTCGTATATTCTTCGTGTTGTTCTTGATATTCTTATTATTATTGCTCGCAAACGTCTCATATTTGGACCAGTAAGAAGAAATTAATTTTGATTGACACTAAATGTTCGTCTTTTGATCGATGATAATTAAAAGAGTTTTTGTGGTACGTCGCGATCACATTTTAGTTTACCCGAGTAATAACACTATGATTTAAAATGATAATAAATTATATATATATATATATATATATTAATGGCAAATATTAAACTCTCATTTATTGTAATAGTTTGAGCCGCGATTTACTGTTTACGGTTATCCAGACTTCGCGAAGGTAGCCTACTGTTCTGATCACTGACTAATCTTCCTATTAATTTCCCCTTACTCCCAATTACATTACACCAAATGGTCCTTAGCGTGTATTATTATTATATCATAATAAACGGCTTCCTAATACTAAATGCTTTGAAAAAGACTGTACAAGATTGGTTTGAGAAGATTAACGTGAGAGTCCTCATCTTCTAATTTCGGGTTTCTTTTCCCAGGCTGTTGCAGGCTCGCGTTCTCTGTGTGAAGATGAAAAAACAGCCTGTTGGTGGCTGAACTTTAGTTTTTGTTGAAGTGTTCTGGCCTCTGCACCTGTTGTTGTATCAAAGGCTAACCTGGATGGTTAGTCCCTAAGTGTTTCACTTGACCTCTTCTGCTTCTGGCATTTTTGATCAATACTTGTGTGTCAGAGGCAACCTACTTTCAAAGGCTCAGATGATTTCAGATTTAATACATCAATTTATAGGCATGATATGGGTTCTTTTTTCTTACATCACATGAGAATCTGTAAAGCATTGTAGCCTACCCATCACACATGATGTCTTCTCTCCTTTAAAGAACCCATTAATTCACACTGAAGAAAAGAGCAAAGAAAATGCTTTAAAATTTGAGAGAGAAAGAAAACATTTTGACTTTTTTTTGTCTTAATATTAAAGTCCAACATTTTCACTGGCATGACTTGAAGTTCATTCATTATGTTTCAGTGGCCGTAATGTTGCATTACTTGCTCTCCATCATACCTGCCACTTATGAGCTATTTCGCCCAGCATATTAAGATTAATGGAAATCCCAAATGTTCTAAATTTTTTACACAGTGCTGTAACCAAAATGTCAGTATAACTCTCTGTCAGAGTTGCTTTGACCAGTAATACCCTTTCCCTGTTCTCTGTGCAGTGTCATTTGTCATTTTTTACAATCATTTGTCCTTTTTAATACAATTTAAATAATCCATCAGCTAAAGGTTTTGTTGGAAATAATGAGACCTGTATTCTTGTATGTGTGACTTGGTTGGTCTAGTGTGTTGTATGCAGTTTAGTGAATTTAAAGTAAACCAAGGGGGAAACATGGGGTTCACCATCCCAATTGTGTTGTTTATGTGCATCTTGTTTGTCTTGTAAACGGGCAAAGCGTAGCAGATCTATTTGGCAACTTACAAAAAGGAGAAAATTTCGATTGACGAGAGTTGTTTGGAATATTTGACCAAATCATACAGGAATTGTTTCTCTCTTAGAACTTCAATTGATTGATTTAAAAGAATAACCCTTATTTTCTTTCCTAAAACACTTTTTTTTCCTGCAATGTGTAAATACAAAAGGATATTGTTCTACAGTAGTTAAATACAGAAGTTTATTTTCTTCAAGCATCTAAAAGTAAAACAGTCTCATCAAAGATACTTCAAGGTTAGAGACACTTGACTATTGATACCGCAAGTTTTACATCTTTCTGTTTTTGACCAGTCCAGAGGAGCATTTTTGTTTGCCGCTGATTTTTTGTGCAGGCATTGCTACTGTATAACTGACACTGATGCTTTTTTACTTTTTACTATTAAAAGTAGAAGACGGGAGGGCCGGCATGTATCTTTCTCAAATGGAAATTCAGCCTGGGTGACACACTGAGTAGCTAAACTTGACATTTGTCATGTTTCTGTGTTATGCACACAACAGGCCACGTTTGGTTAGAGCAAGAGGTGGCCATTGAGATGCTGTCTGTCCTCGTTCAGTTTAGGCAGCGTCCCAGACTGAAGCTCAATCTCAGCATGCCCTCAAACCCATCCCCCACTCTTCTTCCCAACTTCCTCTCATTTCTGCTGTGTCAGAGGAGACTGTGTGTGACAGCCATCACTTCATCTCAACCATGTATCAGACTGACACACTCACACACACACACACACACACACACACTGTATTTTGTCTTAATAACAGGTGTGTATTTACTTGAATTTATTTAATAACATCTGTGAACATGCACAAGTGAATTGGAATATTATGAATACGGACAATGCCTATTTTTTGTCTCCTTAAAATATGTTTTTCTGTTTTTCAGCGACAGTACGTTTAAGATGGATGCATGGTACCAAAAGGCACACGTTTGATCTTGCATGGTGGCAGCCAAGGTGCATTTAATGAAAGAGGGGAGAAGAGACGGAGGCAAGTAGGAAGAGAGAGTGAGAGGAAGAGGTAGTGTGTTCTTTGGCGTCTAGGCTGCATTGCCAATGAGATTCCCCTGTAGTCAGCGTCTCTATGGCTCAGCTTACAAGAGGGGCAGACGCACATTCTCACACACACAATGCACTTTACACACTCACCAGGGCACTTTGGAAATGTATACATTGTGTGTGCACTTGCATAAACCTCATATGTGGGCCTATATGCTGAAATTATTTGAAAGAATATAGCAAGAATCAAGCAAGCAATCTGTAGGCCTATGTCATCATGCGTTATATTGGCTGTCAAATGGAAAGCTAAATTAACAATTGGATTCACAATGGTCATTTTCGATGGGTTGCAATAAAAAGCCTCCCCTCTAGAGGTCTGTATGCTGGCCACGTTTATAGGACGTGTTTGAAATCACAGACACAAAATGTCGCAACCCCTAAAATAAATCGACAGCTTGATGAATCGCCTATGAAGTTCTATTAACGCTTAGCAGGTATTAATAATTATTTAGAACGCTCTCAGGATTGAATTAGTGACCCAGGGCGCGCACCGTGCGCCATCCCCAAACGCCGACAAACTCATTACTGCGGAACGGCTCCCTCCACACAGCGAGCGGAGCCAGGGCGCAGCACAGACCTGCTGAAAAAAAGCAATTTACAGATGGTGAGTGAGCGACCCTTCGCCGCTGCAAACCGGCTGTCACACACACACAAACGCGCGCGCCTGCACGCACACTCGCGCTGACACGCTGTGTGCTGAATAGACAAAGCGAAAAACATGCTATCACAGGGAGAAAATCTGCAACGCAAGCGATTTTTTCCTCAGTTTTTTTCTCCGTGCACCCGAAAATAAACGAATAAATAAACAAACAGACAAACAAATGGCTCCTAATGTTGAACCGTGCCTGATTATGAAAACGGAGCGATGAAATACCAGAAGATTTTATTTTTTCAGACTTTCCCACTCTGCCAATTAGTGTGTGGAAAGAGCTCCTGTCAGTCATGTCCCACCTTGACAGCCTGCAGCTAAACAGTGCACACGTGGAACTCCCTCTGGCTTTGGGTTGGGGTGAACAATGGTCCTATAAAGCCCTGCAAAAAATAAAATAAAATAAGGCACAAGCAAATGGCTCTAAATGTCTCATTTCTTAAAACTTTTCACCTGGGGGGAATTATACTTCTGTGTACACACTGAATGACAATAAACTGGAAATTCTGGGGGTTTGAAGAGTTGCCATAATATGCCTATATTAAAAAAATGTTTTGAGAAGTAATGGTGGTGCTCATTCAGACACTGTTGGTTCAAATCCAGTAGACCTAGTAGTCAGGATAGACACCATATTTAATACATGAATGGAAACTGTGAGACTGTGAGGCATAGACATATAGATAGTACAGTCATGTATTTTTCACAACACATTTCTTTGAATTTTACTAGGAAATATTTTATAAATGCATATTTGCATCGGCTGAATGATTGACACAACAGTATTATACATTAATCTATACATCTATCCCATACTGCCTTGTTTTTAATCATAAATATGGCATCTACCCTGAATAAAGTCTGCTCTCCTTATCTATACTCTTGGTTTGCCATCCTCTCAGTGCACTCTGTAAATAAAAAGTGGCAAATAAACTATTAGTAATATGTGACCCTCTCAAAATCTAATTATGAGATAACAAGCAGCAAAGTTTGATTTCAGCCATTAATTTCACTATGATTTAAATTTTTGACATGGTCTTACTCAGTCAATATTAAAGATATCATTACAATTACATTTTCACAGAATGTTCTTTAAGGATGATTTTGTGTAGAAAACAGTGAATCACAAAAAAATGACTTTAGCTGGGTTTTCACAGCCAGGGTCATATATGT